CAAATAAATTAATTACTAGCGTCTATTAAAATGAAGCGTCATTTAAAATAAAACAATATTTCTTTCATGGCAAGATAAGAAAAAGTGCGAGGGAGATGGACATTATTCCATCTCCCTTCCTTATAGCCGCCAAGTCCGTCTACACTACGTCAGAAGGAGTCGTGACGGAAAAATCTTACACTTTTTCTCGCCTAGCCCCCATCCGCCAAATTCGTACCGTGCGATAAGTAACCTCGTTTCAAAATTCGCCATTTAGTTGTGGCCGTAAGAAGGCGTCCACTACCCCATATCACCCCATAGGTTTGGCTACAGTTGGAAACTGAACAGGCAATGGGCAGCAGGACCTATCTGATAACAACTAAAAAATGCAGTTGCCTACCCGCCCAAGCCAAACGTCGCAATTATAGCAAATACCCCATAAGAAGTAATTTATAGGAGAGGCATATGCTCAGCAGTGGACTATGATAGGCTGTATTAATGATGATGATGATGAATATAATAATGACCAATGATATTTATCAACTATTAAATAGGTAACTCCTTTATCCACTCAACCATCCACGGTGACTACAGTCCCCAAAAACCATTATTGCCTCACCTGTGTAGGCACCAAACGACATCTTTCGGTTTAAACGCGTACAGCGCAAAAGATAGCAGTTATTTATACAGTAAAAAATTATAGATGGTGCTATATGAAATTTGTAGTCTGTGATTCTGTGAAAGTGAATTTTATCTGTACAATAGTAACAAAATTTAAAAAAAAATATTTAGTAAAAAAAAGTTAAAATTAATTTTCGCAATTTTTGTTTGTGGAATGTTAACGTGTGAGAAATTCGATCAAAAATGTGATAACTTTTCTGTTTTTATACGTTATTTCTAATGTTATTGTACATCAAACTAATTGTGAAGATATTTTCTTTAGTAAATATGTATCATTACGACAATTCCAAAATGTTTACATATAATAATTTAGCTCTAAATTTTAATCACTATACGCGATCATCGTTTATCGATTATATGTTGTTTAAAATGTATTCTAATCAGTTTTTTGTGTTAAATGAATGCTAAATATAAAATAATGATTCACTATTAACACGTTGATAGCAATTTATAAACGAAATATGTGTTGAGATGTGTCTAGAAATTATTAAAACCTATTTTTTTCATTTATTTCCTTATTTATTAAAAATATCGGGTATCGGGTAATCATTATATACTTATGTATATTGAGTATAAAAGATATTATTGATATAGGTATCATTTTAAAGGGAATATCATGTACTATTATAATATAAAATAATTGTCTCCAGTAATTATTACACCTTTCTTGTAAAACTCGAAATAAAAAATAAATACGATTTTTTTTTATATTCCCATTTTTAAGCTTTATTTTCAGGCTTTATTTTTAATTTGACTAATTTTCTTTTAACAAAATAAAATTTTGAACTCTTTGAGTCTTTTGAGAATATTTTTTATTTGAATGTAGCTATAGTAGTTTTTCAGTAGTAATCTTTTTTGTTAAGGCTGTCTCGTGCGGTCGTAAATAATAGTGACATTTAAGGCACGGACAGGTCAGACGTGAATCACTCGCGTGGGGTGGACGGTTAAGTGGTTATTGATTTTATTTGTTTAATAAATATTTTTTTGTTTTTTTTTTGTTATAATTATATTTATTTATATATTACATACCGATGAAAGTTCTACAGAAATATGCAATTGTTTCTTACCTTAATTTTTTTATTCAGGGGCGTTTAATTTAGGCAGCAGTTTTGTGCCCTCAATATTATTGCTGTCCATTTTGTATACATCAACTATGTCAGACCATTTAGAAATCTCTTCGGCAAATTTAATTTATATTGTCAGAAAATATTTCTTATGTCCTTTATGAGATGGGGAGGGTCAAAAATGAAAATCTCATCTACTTCTCAATCTCAATTACTTCATCTGAAAATAAAATTTATATGTACAGTAGTACTCACTAATCCGGCACTATAAAAGACCGAGACCGAGAAAGGGGGTGACAGATTATTGGAATGTTCGGATTACAGGATTGTATAGTGAAATTCAAGGTAAATAAAGCATTACATATGTAGTAATAAGGCGATATGTATTTACATATTACATACATATGTAATATTGTTACGAGCTTGGGATTTGAGACAATTAAAAACTGCCGAGCGAATTACCAAAATTGACATTTTAGTTACAGAACACTAATTAAAACTTAAAACCACACTAATAACAAAACACAATTGTACTACTGATCACTTTAGTGCGCAGTTTCCAGAACTTTCTACTGTAGAAACGTCTAGAATGTTCGAGTACATACCGGTCCCGACTGACTAGGTGTCGATAGTTCTAGAAAGTTCTTCCATAGAAATTTCTAGAATGTTCTTGCCTCTCCTAGTTCTGCTACTCGATACTAGAGGGAGCTAGTTGTAACTAGTGTCACCATGTATTAGGGCGTTTTCCAAAAAAGTTGTACCTTGAAAAAAGTCAGTGTCCGACCACTTTCAGAATAAATTATCAAATTTTATAAAAGTTTTTATTACATATCATTTATTTTAACAATAAAGTAACATATAGTCTCACAAATCAAATAAAAATAAGGTCTGAATCTGTTATAAATCAAAAATAAAATCAAAATAAGTAAAATGAGGTCGATGTTTTTGTTATGTCCCACGTCTACTGTGTCAAGTTCAGAGTCACATAATATGGTCGTGTTATATTATTATTCAAACGTTTTGCATTTGACTGGCCATTTATGACCGTAACTTCAATTTTAAACCTTAAAATGTAAATGTTACGGTTGAAATTTATTTTAAAATACCAGATTTTGGGTTGTCCTGCAAAATAGCGTATGATGGAATTTCCGCGTACGTGACCGCATTTTCAACGACTTCCAACAAAAAATACTACTAATTCAATACATTTTCCCAAATATAGCAACATTATTAGTCTATGGTGGCTGCCATATTTAAGTTTTGACAGCCAGTTCGCCAACAAAACGTACTCTACTCGAAGTGGTTGTCTCATGTGAAAAAAATATTTCCACAAACGATACTGCTTTTCTCCAGGTAACGTATTCATGTGTATTTCATTCTATTTTCTATTAAACATGTTAATTTATTGTTATTTGAAATGTTAAGTTATATTGAACAAAAGTTTGATAACTAATTAGTAAATTCATTTGAAAATTTTATTGGCATGGTTACGTTACCTCCATTAACGCTACTATCGCATGAATGGAACTCAAAAGTGACGTAATGGAATCCTAAAGGTCGGTTCATAAAGTCATCGTTTTAATTAGTGTTCTAAAGTCTAAATAAATAAGTATGAATAAAATAACTATGAAATGCCTCGAATTTTTTAAATGAATTGCTTATTACTTAATTTCGTGTGTAAATCAAACAAGATTTTTCGAGTAGGTATTTCGGCTCAAAACACTCCATTCAGGATAACATTAGAAAAATAACAGTGAAATAACGATAGTTATTACGTTATATTGTTGAAATGGCTGCATTTAGTGTTCAATTTTAATGGTATCCTGAATGAAAATCTTTTTTGTTTTTTGCGTGAATTGATCGTCAAAATATATGTGATAAACAGTTATCACATTTATTTTGACAATTATTTCACGCAACGCTTTTTGTAAATCTATATAAATTTTTTCACAAAAATTTGAGATTTTTCGTACGGAGTACATTATGATAACTCACTATTGTTTTTAGGCTTAAATATGCCCTTGACGGCTGCAGAAAAGTCAAAACGGTACCGAGAAAAAATCAAACAAAACCCGGAAAAATATGAAGAATTTAAGAAGAAGGAATTACGAAGACAAAAAAACACCAAAAGAAGATTAAAGAGCTCACTGAGGACGAGAAAATAGAAAAAAGAAAACACTGGAGAGAACAAAAACAAAAACAAAAAAAAAACAAAAACACTCAACCGAATCCACAATCAGGGCAATCACGTGACGCATCCAATACTTCAGCTTCACATTCATTGAAAATTAGGTACCGAAAATTGTTAAATAACTATAAAAAGGCTTTAAAGATGATTCGTCAATATAATACAACAATACAGACTGAGAAAGAAATTATACCGAATGAAAAAAAAACATGAAACCGAATTTGATTTATTGAACACAGAAAACGATAAATTGAAAGCAAGACAAGAAATAATGGAAATATCAATTCGTAGTACGTACAGGAATTGTAAGAAAAATAAAGAAAAACAATTACTTAAAAACGTGATTAGGAAACAGGCGCAAATATTGGAAAAAGCACCTGAAAGTAAGATTTTAGGTCTTAAAGGAAGAATCAGGAAAAGGATTAATGTACAACGACCAATACATAAGAAGACTCAGGAAGAAATAGAACTTTTTTATTTGAGAGACGACATAAGTAAAAGCACAGCTGGTAAGAAGGAAACCAGGTCCAAAGACAAACAAAAAGCACAAATAAAATACTTAGTCGACACACTGAAAAACGTATACGAAATTTATAAAAAAGACGGTGGGTCATGCGGCTTCATCACCTTTTATAGATACAAGCCTTATTATGTACTGTCTCCAAGTATCAATAATAGAGAAACCTGCTTATGTATTAAGCACAGTAACTTTGAGTACATGTTTAATGCACTGAAATGTAAAGGTGTCATAACTTACAAGAATATAAAGGAGCTCTTGAACATCGTTGCATGTGATATTACGCGTTACGACTGCATGTACAATAAATGTAAAGATTGTAAGAGTATTTCATATGATGAACAAAAACTCGATTCTGCTATATCATGGTTCAAATGGGCTAGGGTAAACCATGAATATGAAAAATCTGGCAACTACTATGGTATATACAACTAAAAAGACCACCAAACAACAAGTAAAAGGAACTGTACTTGATATCATCACCAACTTTCAGAACGAGCTACCGGCGTTTAAAACTCATTTCTATAATTGGATTGAACAACAACGTCAATACAGAAATTGTATCAAGAACATGAAAGATGACGAGATACTCATTTTATGTGACTTTTCGGAGAATTTTGAATGTAAATATAGTGAAGAAGTCCAATCAATGCACTTTGGTGCCTCCAAAAACACGATCACTTTACATTGTGGTGTAATTTTTTGGAAAAATCTATCCCAATCATTTGTATCTGTTTCAGATAACAATTGCCATGAGCCGAATACCATCTGGGCACACTTGATACCAGTTATCAAACTTGCAAAAGAAATGAACCCTCATATCAAAGTTATACACTTTTTTTCAGACGGCCCATGCAGCCAGTACCGTCAAAAAAAGAACTTTTATCTTTTGAGTTTATTCACCCCAAAATTGAAACTATCATATTCAACATGGTCATTTTCGGAGGCAGGTCATGCCAAAAGTATGGCAGATGGGACTGGGGGTGCCGTTAAGAGACAATTGTATAAAAGGATTTCTTATGGTCATGATGTTACTAACGCCACTGAAGCATTTCAAATTTTAGAGAACAGCATGAAGACAGTAAAGTGCTTTTACATAAGTAATCAAGATATTGAAAACATGAACCAACTTATTCCCAACGGCATTGAAGCTGTTCCTGGTACAATGCAATTGCATCAAATATCATCTACACAATGTAACCAGATTAAATATCGGCAACTGAGTTGTTTTTGTGGGGAATATCGTGGTTTGTGCAGTTGCTATTATCCCAAAATACATAATTTTGTTAAACCATCAAAAGAAACTGCCGAATTGAGTGTTGAGGCCTTAATAGTTCCTGGGACGTCAAAAGACAACATGAACGTTACTCCTTGTTATTTGAGCCTAAGCATTGTGCCCCACAAAATGAATACGGCAATTGATTATGAATTTCCAGAAAATACCCGACAGATAAGCAGTTCCCCTATTGAGGTTATTTCTGATCACATGCTCCAAGATTTAGAAACATACCAAAGTGATAATGAAGAAAACATAAATTTTGATTTCCATGTGGGTCAAATGGATGAAACTCCAATTTATTCCCTAGAAGATAGCTATATTTCTGGACCACTCATAGAGATAACTTCTCTGACCGATAATCAGAGATTAGTCGAACCTAAATCTGATAGCATAATTCCAATCCTGGAAAGTTCATGCATGACAGCTTCAGATCACGTTCTTGGTAATACCCAAAATAAACAGCTCAAAGAGAATCTTGCATCTCTTGGATGTCAGCCCTCTAAGAAGAGAAAAATAAATATATCGAACGACAACAAACATAACGGAAAAGAATTTAAGTCATCAAGGACTTTTTTGTGCTCTATTTGCAAGGAGCGTCAGCCTTTTGTTATACAAAGAATGGTAAAATGTAATGCATGTAAAAATTGGGTTTGCCTGATATGTAGCGGAACAACCTTTTTTGACTACGTTTGTTCGATTTGTCTTGGGACTGATGAATAGTTTTGATTGATCTCAAATGTGTTTTTTCGTATTGTTTTTTTTTTAAGTGTTGTTTAAGTTACTTACTTTATTACTTTTTTCTTACTCTTTTTTGTTACAGTTTAAGACCGTTTACAACGTACAGCATTTCATACAAACTTTCAAGTCCTTATTTTTCGAAATAAATGAACCGATTTTAATGAAACTTCCTACGCATAAGCAGGATATATAGGTCCGAAAAGTTAATGAGAACATTTTCGAAAAATAATGTTACAGCTAAATTCGACCGATTTTAAATTTTCCATAGAAACAGATATTTCCAATTATCTTGTTTTAAATAAGACATTTCGAAAATGTTCTTTACTAACTTTTTAGAACTATGTGTCCTGCTTATGCGTATGAAGTTTCATTAAAATCGGTTCATGCATTTCGAAAACAAGGACTTGAAAGTTTGTATGAAATGCCGTACGTTGTAAACGCTCTTAAATGACATACTAGTAATATTATGTTTAATACGATAAGTATAAGTTACCATGATTGTTGTCATAATTCAGAGTCATATAGACGTTGCCTTATAGTTCCTAAACGTCATTTTCGAATTCCATTAACGTCACTGTCCTATTATTACTGTGATTTTGTTTTCTAAGACTAATTAATAGATCTCAAAAAAATTTGACTGTTTTTGTTCAATATAGTTTATTATTAATTTTTAATTTGTTATAATTAAACTTTTGAAAGAATATTTCTCATATTTGACGTTCTAGGATGAAAAAAATATAGTACAAAGTACCCAAAAGTAGCGTAAGGAATATCTTTGTTAAAACATTTTTTGATTAGATCTAATATGCGGAATTATTAATATTTTTTAGAAGACTGATTGTGTTTATTTTTCATAAATAAAGTTAAAAATACTGAACTTCTTTTAGTTTTCATGAAAACTATTTTAAAATTAGTAACGTAATGGAATTGAGAACATAATTAAATTAAAATAGTAATTATTTTCAAAATTCATTATTATTTTCTTAAAAAAAATACTATTTTCATACTGCTCATACTATATTTTATCAATTTAATTACATTTTGAAGCTAAATGTTAAAACTCATATAAGTGGAATTCTAATTACGTCACCGACAATTTTTTTGAAAAACGCCCATTAATTGTGGCGCGCAACAATATGTACACATGTTTCTTTGTGACAATCTTAATCTTACTTAAGTAATTTACCTTAAAATAGTCCTTAATTAAGATCTGCTTTTTTTGCAACTTGTAGTTTTTGTTTAAAAACTTTTTCTCGAATGTTTCGAAGGACTATAACATCCTTGGCGGATACACCATTTTCTTCAGCCCATGTTATACACGTATTGATACAATTGAACGCCGTATCTGGTTTTATTTTCGCAGTAGTGTTTGGTGGCCCCAATATTTCTGTAAGGCTTTCCTCTTCTTTTACCTCTTCAAATATTTCTTCATCTGTCATCATTTGCTCAGTTTCTTCAGTTTTTCCTTTATTTAAATCTGCTTTGCTTATCTCGTGTCCTCTTTCTGAAACAGAAAACGGAGCCACATGCGTTAGCCAGGGCAAATACAATCCTTCAAGTTCAATTCTTTGAGACACTGCTTGATGTCACCACACTGAAAGATGATGTGAAGGAGCAACTTATTATTCTTATAAAACTCTTATTAATTTATTATTAACACGAATAGGTCGGCTCGATCAGGGAAACGGACCACGCTCTCACAGAATACCAGCTTAAAGCTGCTTTGTTTTGTATAGTAAGTGTAGAGAACCGGAGACCCTTTTTACTGGAAACGAGGCATTCAATCTTAGTCCTCACAGGTGACAACACATCTGCATTTTGATTTGTCATCGAGGGTAGATGTAGATGTCTATGGGCCACAGCAACCACTTACCATCAGGTAGACTGTGTGCTCATTTGCAACCCTTATGCTATAAAAAAAACATTTTGTTAGTTTATTTCATTTTGGAAATGGTATTGTACTACTATATGTAAATAACTTACGTTCTAATATCCTCAGGTGAATCTGGGAGTTGCTGTCCATTGATTGAAAATATGTATGGTCCGCATGTTTTCTCATTTGGATATAAGAGTGATCAATGGAAGGATTAACATATTCTGAAAAATAAAACAATTATTTTTAAAAGCAGGTTCCATATGACATAATTAACAAGACGTCACGGCATGTCTGCTCTGTATTGCCCTTAAGAAAAAAAGGGAAAATTCAAAAAGATAAAAAAGGTTCACTATGTCCAATTGCTTTTAAAAATCTGTGTCACTTGTTGTTGATAATAGGACTTGTTCTTTTCTTATTTAAAGATAACATCTATTAAACATGAGACAACAAATGTTTTGGCACTATCAAATGAAAAGAAGTTATAAGTAACTAACTAGTTTTGTGTTTTTGTAGTTATTAATATGGTGTTTTTCTATTTAAATTACAAATTAGTAAGTAAGTAAATTATTAAATAACAAATTACTAAAAAAGTATGACCATGTCTCTTCCTATTGCAAGCATCTCAAGTAGCTCCCAATCAGACTTTATAGTTGCGTCCTCCTTAAAAGGAAATGCGGGTGGTGTTTTCTCCATACAAACATCTTCTGTTTTCTTTTTGGTTTATGACGTTATAGCAATGAGTTTTTACAGTAAAATTAATATTAATCTCTTCTATATCCCTATGTTTTACTTTTTGATAATACATTATCTTTAAAAGCATCAGAACCCTTACATAATGCTCAAAATTGCCTATTTAAACTACTGTCAACAGAGGCCTAATGTTCAAATTTGATAAGTAATGCTGAAAAAAGAAAAACATAGAGACACACTGTATGTCTTATTTAGTTTATGAAATATTTTTTAAATTGGTCCATTATTGGAGGAGGAAATAGTAGAGAGCCAAGCCTCAAATTATGCCTTTTTACTTAGGCTATTCAGTCAGATCTGCAGTTGTCCTTATCGGACTCCTAGCGCTCATAGAGCGACGCTCACGGTGAGCTCTCAGCCTGCATTTCCTCTTATTATACTACAGAATTCAACATCACCTCTATATCTAGGTGGTCTAATCTGCTTTGTATATTCTCAGAATGCAATTTGCATATTACATTTAAAAACACTCCTAAAATTCCCAACCTAAAAACTAAGTTTTATTCTCACTCTTTTACAGTACATGCAGTAATGTTACGGAATTCTCTTCCTGCATTAATACATGAGGCTCAAACAATGTCAGTGTTTAAAAGGCAAGTTAAAAAGCACTATCTTTCGATTGTTGTTCAATGACTTCATTTTAATGCATGACTTGTACATCATTTATGGATATACATATTATATGTGTATGTATATAGATATGTGCATGTATACATATGTAATTTGTTATCTGTATTTTATATTGTGTATATCTTTAAAAATAATGATAGTTATTATTAGAGTATACAATAAATCTGCTTCCCTTTGAACTGTCTAGTATGAGGCCTGCTGGAAGAAATTTCAATACGAAAGCAGTGCCCTTTCCTTTACTGTCATCAAAATTGACACTAATTGAAAGGTTACCAAAATAAAGGGAAAATGTTGGCAAATAATAATCATTAGTAATAAACAGACGTTCCTGAGCTGTAGACAAACCTAGAGACAACTTTATCAAATAATCATACTTGTGTCTATTCACCCCATTTTACGGTACATTATGTAAATGACATACTGGTGTTCATATAATAAAATAAATTATCAGATAAAAAAAATTTAATGAACCAAGGAATATATTACTCTCAAGTGGCAACTTTCACGAAATCCCCGTAAGCGACAATCTATGGGGGAGGCTTTCATTGGATATATATCAATAAGATTAATGAATAAATGAAAAATTTAATTAAAAAATTACTGACGGCTGTCTTCGTATACTCTTAATGGAACCCCAGTCCTGATCTCATCTTTCGTAAACAAAGTGGGATATGCATTCTGCTGAAGACGAGATGTTTTAGAGTTAACGAATCGCAGCTCAAAGTGTTTGTGGCACACGTACAACTTACAAAGTTTTTGAACACTTAACCTATTTAAATTATCACTATTTATACACCTTAACCACTTATGGATTCCTATCACCGAAGTTGGAAATTTATGTAACTTAATATTCTTGCGTCTACTACCACAAGTTTCAATACAGCACGTATTAAACATTATGACAATTTTGGTGTTTTACAAAGGTACTCTGTTATTTTATAACAGTTTCAATTCAAATTGAGTTGAAGTTGAGGAATTAAATGACATTGACAAATGAGGGCACAGCATGTAGGGTTGTTCGATAATCATCGATGTTCAAAGATGATGATTAAAATAAAAATATCGATTTTTAACATCGATGTTGACACGTCAAGCAGCGAAACATCGATGCCAATGAACCCATAATCGATTATTGGGAACTTGCGAACAATGCGAGCCCGCGAAATCAATATCAACTAAATCTTGCACCTCCTCTGAAGATTTAAAATTTTGAATAATTCAGAATTCCTGAACGCATCGCTAACCTAAAAAAATATCATTATGGTACGTCAAAATTAATTTGAGAATGAATTTTGTCACCTGTAATGTCACAGTGGTCACTGCGTACGCTTTATTTTGTAGTGTCGTTGTCGGTAGTCGTATAATAACTATTCTACCTAAATTGATATTCAAGTTTATTATTACTTTTTCCCTTGATGTATATACCCACATAATTTGAAACAATATGTAAGTATCTCCACATATACAAAAAACATCGATAATGGTCAACATCGATGTTTTGAGTAGGTTAAACATCGAACATCGATGTTGAGCTATCAATGCCAACATCGATGTCTTCATCGATGTTTCTACAACATCGACATCCCTAACAGCATGACACATAAACATAGTGACAGCACATCACAGAATACTTTTTTATAACTGGCTTTATGGCTCTGGGTTCTAGATTTTTTGAGCCTGAAGTTACAATGTATAATTATCCTTTACAGTACACTGGTTCACAATATGTTGTTGCGTCACATTTTGCAACACACAGCTGACAGTTGGCGATGGTATTTCAAGGCGCCTAAGCAGACAGACACCTTATCTTGAGAATCACATCACCATCAGAGCACTTGTTTCACCGTTTCCACAAATAGTTCACATGCGCAGGCACTTAATACACAAAATTGCACTACTTTTACATCTCAAAATCCACCTCAAACCACTATTTATATAATAATACAGGAGCAGTAATCCGCCGCCAGTCAAGTACCCGCCAAAACTCCCACCAAAGAGTATAGTAACTGTCCTATACAGGAAACTCCCACAGAATACTTTTACTAGAGATGAAGCGTATATACAAAAACAGATCCAGGCACTAGGTATCAAACGAGACTAGGTTGCACCTGTTCCAGCTTTTAAAATACTTAATCCACCTAGTCTCACTGTGCCCACGCGTTGCACGGCACAACACGGCGGCCCGCTCGAATCGAAGAAGTAGAAGGACCGGCGTGGCAAAGCAAGATAGCATTTTGTTGCTATAGTTATTATTCTGCTTTGCCGCTCACGCGTTTTTGCCTAAATCATTCGTATATCAGTCATTTGAATTTGAACTATGTTTCAATGTGTATAAAAGTAACACGACGAGCACTCGTGTTGTGCAAGAATATATTCTGTCCTTTTTTAACTACACTATTCCGCAGTCTTCCTATCTTTGTCCGTCAATCCTCGAGACTAGGTTGCACCTGTTCGAAATTTTAAAACACTTTATCCACCTACACGTTTTACACGTGGTAGAGCCATGCTGCAGCTATATAAGTAGTTTAGTTGTAGCACGAATGGGTCGGCTCGACCGGGGAAGGATCACGCTGTCACAGAATACCAGCTTAAAATAGCAGCTTAACGCTGGTGTGTTTCGTTTGGTGAGTGTAGAGAACCGGAAACCCTTTTTACAGGAAATGAGGCATTCCATCTTAGTCCTCACGGGTGACAACGAATCTGCATTTTGATTCGCAAACGAGGATAGATGTAGATGTCTATGGGCCGCAGCAACCATTTACCATCGGGTGTACTGTGTGCTCGTTTGTCACCCTTATCCTATAAAAAAAATACCTAGTCTCACTGTGCCTACACGTCGTACGGCACCCGCGGTCCACACGAATCGAAAAAGTATCGGAGCGGCGAAGCGAGATAGCATTTTGTTGCTGTAGTTACTAGTCTGCTTTGCCTCTCACTCGTGTCTGCATAAATCATTCGTGTGCCAGTCATTTGAATTTGAACTATATTTCAATATATATAAAAGTAACGCGACGCGCACTCGTGTTGTACAAGAATATATTCTGTCCTTTTTTAACTACACTATTCCGCAGTCTTTCTATCTTTGTCTGTCAATACTTGAGAATGGTCTGAACTAGTCCCGGGGACTTCAACCAAATACTTGGCAGACTATTCACAAGGTACTTGTAAATACTCGATGCGAATGTGATCTCAGCATCGTATTGACACCTACTCGACTTATTTAGCAATTGGTTTTCGTAACGAAGTTTTGTTATGTAGTTAAAGAACTTTCTATTTATTTTTAATTTAGACATTATCTGTCTATTGTTTAAAAAAATGGCTTCCAAGGGAAACAGTGTCGCTTAGGATCATTTTACGGACAAAGGACAACTAAACAGAGTATAACATTTGTAAAATACAATTTAGTTTTAAAAATTACTAATTTATTTGCACGTATATAAAAACAATGATTGTAGATAGGTAATTCAAAAAATGAAATAAAACTACATAATTAAAAAGAAACGAAAAGAAGACAAAAATGTGATCACTCTGAAAAAAACAATGAACCTTTTAAATATGCCAACAATCTAGCCTGTACTAAGCCTGTGTAAAGTATTGTTACGAGCTTGGGGTTCGAGACAATTAAAAACTGCCGATTGAATTACTAAAATTGACACTTTAATTACACAACACTAATTACAATCTAAAATCACACTGATAATAAAACACAGTTCGCCGTTATTTCGCTTCGAAGTATTCTCTTGTATCGCCAAATCAATACTGCCCTGGTCGTGGTCTATACCGGCCTTATATAGGGCCTCAGATAATTTCCGGAACCTTCTACTGTAGCGACATCTAGAATGTTCGAGTACATATCGGTCCCGAAATTTCTGGAAGGATCTCGACTCTCGTAGTTCTGCTACTCGACACTAGAGGGCGCTAGTGTAACTAGTGTTGCCATGTACAAGACATTAATAGTGGCGCGTAACAGTATGAAGGGATGATTCATTACTGCATACGTATCTTCACGTGTCGGCTGTACGTAAATACTTAGCATAATTTAAAGAGTAACCTTTTTTTTCGTGGGGAAATCCTCATGGATACCTCCGGCTGCGGGGGCAACCGGAAGGTTATGCCGGACTCCTACCGGCTAAAATCCCACGGTGGACTCCATCAGCGTGTACGAGGGGTCCCGTGATCTCCGTTCGGAACGCAACCGGGGCCCCTCTCTCGCTTTGTTTTATTGGAAGCACGTCCCAGGGTCAGAACTTACTACCCCCAGTACCCTCGCAGTGCTATCACGATGTATCGGGACCACTTCCGAGCCATCGTCCTCCTCGGGGGTTACTAGGTATTCGAGGCCCCCGCTCCAAATTCTTGCAACCCCAGAGGCCCCGTTTCTGGTAGGGCAACACCATCTTCAAAGGGAGGGCCGTGACGAACGCCTTGATGACGTCGTCTCCGAGTGGGATCTGTCCTCCTCCGATCCCGCTCAGCAGCCTCCTACTGGACCATTACGGACTCACATCGCCGACACGACTGCTGGCAGGGAGAGGTCCCGACCGACCCGGTTTGCCAGGATCATTCGCTCCCGTTCCCACGCTGGACATACCGCCAGCGTATGGGATGCGGAGTCCTGGTCCTGTCCACCGCAGTGGAAGCAATTCGCCGTCGCTTCGCGTCCGATCTTACACAGATAATCACCGAAGCACCCGTGCCAATTATCTGTGTAAGTCTGTAGATGAGTTTTCCTACTCGTCGCTGCATCCAGGCTTCGAAGACCGGCAGGATTGCGCCAATAACACGTTTGCGGGTATGGCGCTCCTCGTTGAGTCGAGTGCGCCATATCGCCAAAGCGTTCTGTCGCTCCTGCCGTTTTATAGACTCGAGCGGCTCATTTGGCTCACTGCCACCGCCCTGACGGTAGATGCGGATTCGGTTGTACACCCTCGCATCCATATCCGCCAGTATATCTAGGGGTGGAAAGCAAACCAGGACTGTTGCCGCCTCAAAAGATATCGTGCGGTATCCCCGTACGATCCGTATAGCCATTCTCTGCTGGACACTGTAGATTTTAGATCTACAGCGCCGGATGGCTAGCCTTTTCGCCCCCGTATAAGGCTACGGACCGTACTACCCCCGCATAGAGGCGGCGTATTTCCTCCCTCGATCCCCTAGATTGGGCAGCAGTCTGTGCATAGCACCCGCCACCCTCTCAATCCGGGGGACAATTTAAAGTGTAACCTATTCCAACAATACCAAATTTTATGCATACTTCATGGACTAGGTGGAACAGGTATTTGGACCGAGTATTTGTACGGAATTGGACTAAGTGCACCTAGTACAAAATTTACCTAGTACGACTCTCTCCAACTTTTACTCCTAGGGCACAGATCACAGCAGCAGTATTACCAGCTGGAATTTTTCCAAATTCTAAGATTGGTATAAAAATTTCCGTAGAATTCCGTAGACGCTATTTCAAAATATGGAGTCAGTCAATGTTACCTTTCTCCCACTAGGGGCTACTCATCACAATGTCGACACCGATGACTCCTTAATTGATCTTATTCTTGCTGCTTCTCCTGAGCATGTTGTGTCACACGGACAGATGCCTGCTTTGGGTTTTTCGCGTTACAACCTTTTCTACGCTTCTTATAAGCTCAAAGGGCTCTTGTCCCTTACTGCCTGTACGCAATTTCTCTAAAATAAACTATGATAAACTAATGAGTGACGCCCGTGATCTCAATTTAACTTGTTTGGAAGCAGGACCTACAATTGACGGTAAAGTCTCTCTTCTTAATGATAAAGTTCTCTTCTTTCTTTTAATTGCTACACCTACGACAAACTCTCACCACTCTATGGGTTGACTGGTAGAGAATGCCTTTAGACATTATGTCCGCCCTTTGTATCCTTTTCTTTTCTAAAGGGACGCAATAAAGTTTTTAAATAAAAAAATTAAATAAATAAAAATATCCGTAGATCTGCAGACTTCTAAAGAAGATCGAAAATTTTTGTTTTTGTCATAGAATTGATCAATTTTATGGAGAAATTCTTTCTGTCGTGAAAAATTATTGTTGTAAGTTCAATTGTAGTGTAACATAGAATCAAGCTGCAGATATAAGAAAAAGGTATCTCAAAATTTTTATAAAATTTCTTTTACAGTTAAATTTTTAAGTTAATGTTACAGCCTTTATACGTCCCACTGATGGGCACAGGCCTCTCATTTCTGAGAGGGTTTTTTTAGGGCAAGGAAATACGTCCCGCTGCTCCAATGCGTGTTGGCGATATTCACATGTATTCGAATTTTTTTTCTTATTTCTCAGACATGCAGGTTTCTTCGCGACAGCACACCGCACCACGTGACACCTTTCCAATACAACCTCTTTTATCTTTATTACATATATCTTAATATCGTATTAAAATTAATTGTTTTTTAAAATAAAACATTATTTTTAGTAAAAACCAAACAAAAATAATTAACACTTAAATTATTGGTGCACCTTTAAGTATTTTAAATAAGAATATCTGCATTTCTTATCTGTCAAATTCAATTTTCCCGCTGAGATATCAATTTTCGATTGTCGGTTGTCGGCTAAGTTCACACTCATGATAAAAAAATGTTTTTGTTAAGTTTTTAAAAATCTGATTATTCTGAGAGGACTGTGAAGTACATTTTTCAATAATAACATGAAAATCAAATTCCCTAAACACTGGTGCCATGGACACCGAGGTAGCAGGATCATCATTAGACCCCAAGACCAATGACAAAACGGCCTGCACAACCGAGTCGAAGCCACCAGCAGAAATCGGGCTCAGCGGCGGTTTATTAAGTGACGTGGAAGACTACACTTTGCCGTGCAACTCCGAATCTGACGATGAGACCCGAGATCTGCTGGCAGGCTTATTTTTGGGCGAGGACGGGGAGTACGGGGAGTACGCGGTCAATGATGGCGTTCCCTACGTCCAAAACTAGCCTCGTGCAGGCCAACCTCCATCACAGCGAAACTGCGTCGGCTCAATTACGCCAATGGTTGGAGGCTCAACGGACGACCATAGCCCTAATCCAAGAGCCGTGGGTTGGGGCCGGTAAAATCAAGGGCCTAAACAACCTAAAAGGTAAGTCATTATACAACTCTGAGCGCGACAAGCTTAGAGCGTGTATTTACTCGTATATACTAAATATATCTGTTCACAACCAATAACAGATTTCTTTTTTTCTTAATAGGCTGACGTCTTCGCTCGCGGGTTTTGAGGGGACAAATACTACAGCAGATCTGTCGCTCCTAGAAGAACAGGTAGCAGCTGTTGTTACTAAGGCCATGATGGATAGCTACCATGAATCATGTCCAGAAGTCACTCCACCAAGGTATGCTGTGAAAAAGCCACCGTGGTGGAGTAAAGAACTAGACAGAAAACGTAAGAAGGTAAGAAAGGCCCTAAATAGGGCCATGAATAGGTACCTCAATGGATGAAGACTGGCTACTATACAAGTAAGCCAAGTCCGAATACAAAAACCGTATCAGGTATTCAACGCTCGACAGGGTGGCGTGAATTTTGTGGTAACATGAACTGAACAAGCGAATCGGATAAGGAAAATCGTAGCTTAACAAAACACGCCGAGATCCATCTCTTTAAAGAAACCCGACGGAAGCTACTCAACATCGCCGGACGAAACTGAAACAAAATCCTAATTGAAACGCACTTCCCAGGTTCCTGCATAGCTCAGGGGGTAAACCGGTATGAAAATGCACAGATACCAACATCAGAAGACTGTAATTTAGCACAGAGAGTGGTAACGATGGACAAAATCCATTGTGCCATTCACAGTTTCCTCCCATACAAGGCGGCAGGAACTGACGGTATATTCCCGGCACTCCTATAGTGGCGGAGTAAAGCCCTAATAGTCATACTTGTTGCCATAATGAGAGCCTGTCTGGCTCTTCAATATGTTTTTCTACGTGGTAGAGCCATGCTGCAGCTATATTATGGTTGTAGCAGGAATGGGTCGGCTCGACCGGGGAAGGACCACGCTCTCACAGAAAACCAGCGTAAAATAGCAGCTTAACGCTGCTTTGTTTCGTATGGTGAGTGTAGAGAACCGGAGACCCTTTTTACTGGCAAAGAGGCATTCCATCTATGGGTCTATGGGTCACAGTAACCACTTACCATCAGGTGGACTGTGTGCTTGTTTGTCACCCGATCCTATAAAAAAAAATGTTCCCAGGGGATGGAGGAAAGTGAAAGTCACATTCATACCCAAACTAGGTAAGAGCGACTATACAGACCCTAAATCCTACAAACCCATTAGCCGCACATCCTTTCTCCTGAAGACAATGGAGAGGATATGTGAAAGGGAATTAAGGGGGTCGGCGCTAACGAACTTACCGCTACACGACAAACAACACGCCTACAGCTTAGATAAATCGACAGAATCGGCACTTCACCAGGTAATAACAAAGATTGAAGAGGCCACCTAAAACAAAGTAATATGTCTAGGTTCCTTCACAGATATAGAATGTGCTTTTGACAGAACGAACTTCTCCAGCATAAAAGTGCACTCAGTAGGCATAAAGTTAAGCCAGCACTGATTGACTGCATAGTAAACATGCTCAGTAAACGAACAACAAAGATTGCTGGTGAATCTCAAATAATCCAGATTAAGAAAAGCTGCCCACAGGGTTGGGTTCTTTCACCTCTCCTGTGGAATATGGTCATAAATGAACTCATCGGCAAATTAAATGCCAATCACTTCTACACAGTAGATTATGCTGATGAACTGATAATACTGGTCTCTGGAAAGGCAATAAGCATGGTGTGCGACACGAGACCTGACCCAAGCGGCTCTACGTATAGTGGAGAGGTGGTGCAGGGCATACGACTTAACCGTCAATCCAAATAAAACGGTTCTAGTAATGTTCACACAAAAACGAATGCTGAATAACTATCATCTCCCAAGTATTTTCAGCACAAATCTCCATCTATCCTCCGAGGTAAAATATTTAGGTCTTACCTTAGACAGTAAACTCAACTGGAATAAACACATAGAAAACAAAATCAACAAGGCTAGTATAACTGCAATGCAGAAACATGAAAAAAGTTGGGGTCTGACGCCAAAAATCATACTGTGGCTATACAGAACTGTAATTCGGCCCATGATCACATACGGCGCTCTGGTATGGTGGACCAAAAAAAATGAAGCCACCACTATAAAGAAGCTTCTGGCTGCCACAGACTGCATAAGAACTACGCCAACAGCAGCCTTAGAGGCGATGCTGGAGCTAACCCCACTTCATCTACACATACAACAAGAAGCGACTTTAGCTGCCATTAGACTCAAGACCCTAAATCTTTAGAGTAAGAATAGAGTCCCTCATACAGGCATAATTGATAAAATCTATTCAAAAATTCCTATCGTACAAGCCAAGTACGATAAGATCACAAAACAATTTTTATTTGATAAAGAAGTATAAGATACAATTAATTGAAACCAGCCAGCCGGAGGGATTAAGCCAAAAAGAGCTTAGAGTCTTCACCGATGGTTCTAAAACAAATGAAGGTGTAAGATCTGGAACTTTTTCTGAAGACCTCAACATCCACATATGCACACCGCTGGGTACCTACAACACAGTCTTTCAGGCGGTATGTATAGGTATCATTCAAGCAGCCATAGCAATAGATGCTAGAAAGGTTAATGACTTTTCCATCAGAATACTGACCGACAGTAGGGCAGTACTACAAGCCCTGAGTTGCAATGTGGTGAGCTCAGGACTAATATATGAATGCCATCAACAATTATGGTATGTAAACACAACAATGTGACTCTGCAATGGATAAAGGGACACAGTGTAACAAGATCAGAGGGAAAACGATGCAGCAGACGAACTGGCCAGAAGAGGATCGGCTCTGGCCACTATAGTGCCGGAACTAATCATACCAATCCCCTTTGGTAACATTCGTTAACTGGTACGTAGACACTTCACTAATCAACACGCTCAACTTTGGAAAAACTAGTCGTCTAGTAGACTGTAAACAAGCTAGAGAGGCCCTGCCTGAAATAAACAGTCGTTTAACCAAGGTTCTATTAAGACTGAACAAGCCGCAGATCAGGATAGTAATACAATAATACAATACAATACAAGCACTCACGCCTGTCACCCAGAGGGGTAGGCAGAGACTACGGACTTCCATTTGGCGCGATCCTGACACACTTCTCTCGCCTCCTTTACATCCATATATTTACGCATACACGCTCGTCGGTTAAGGGTACTCCTAATCTGGCCCATTTTCAATGTATCGCCGATTTGGTCGATAAATCTTCGTCTAGGGCGTCCCTTCCTGACTTTGCCGTTCACTTCTGAAAGATAAATTTGCTTCGTCACTCTTTCTTCGTTCATACTACACTGAAAAAATGCTTATAATTAAAATATTCTGAGCCAGTAGCTGCAAGTTTTTCAATTGCAATGTGTTTTCCATCAATACTGCCCAAGCAATTATTAAAATTCCATTTCCTTTCAAAAATTCTCCTGCGGTCGTCTTCCATTCGTCTTCAGTTGTAGGCATCTGAAAAACAATGGTAATATACAAATGTTTGTAAATAATAACGTACCCAAATTTTACAGACACCGGATATGGAAGAACTAGATGAGGAAAATGGAAGAGAAGAAATGCAAAATAAAATCTCTGTGCCAAAGAAAAACACAAAGGCAAAGCATTACTAAAACAGGAGGATCTAAGAAATACAGCGTAAGAATTATTGAACAGGAAAGAAGAAAAATGGAAAATATTATATTGCTATTCAATTACAAGATATTGATGAGGGCCAATTAACTATTGCGAATAAAATTATATCTGATGCAATTTTTTACCCAAAACCAGGCAAATTAACTAATAATTCCTCAATAAATCTAAGGTTAGAGCCAGAGGCAAAAACAGGCAAATTAACTAATAATTCCTCAATAAATCTAAGGTTAGAGCCAGAGAAATTCTCAAAAATATGTAAAACATCACATCCACAGCATTTCCGTCCCCAATCCCAAGCATCCTCTCCAAGAATTTCAACATATCTAATTATTCCGAACCGTCGTTATCACCGATTCCTCAACCTACGGTCTCGTATGCTCCACCAACAAACAACCAAATACAATTTTTACTGTCTCCTGAAACACTATTATCTCCTCCGTCTCCTCAATATGAAATAGTTATCTTCTTCAAATTATTCTTCAAATAACCATAGACAGCCTCTCGAAATTCACGAAGTAGTATCTCAGTCACTACTATCCTCTCAATCATATGTTTCTTCTATGCCTGAACCACTTGATAACACAACTTCACCATTACTAACCAGAACTGTTACAACTTTCTGCTTACAAACACAAGCAGACCCCAACATTCCGTTATCATCTTACAATTTTCCTAACACCGTGATTTCAAATGATTCACCTGTCATTTTCGAAGGAAAGGGCTTCGAAACGAAGGATTTTTTAATTACAAGACAATGAAGACAGTTTGACACCCACGACAATACAAAGATAGCTTAATTAAAAAATAATAATTACCAGTCTCTTAATTACTTACCCTCATGTAATAACGCAGAATTTTGTATATGGCCCAGCATGTCTCAGGAATAATTTTTGAGAGTAATTGTGTGCGATATTATTGAAGTAAATTTCAAGTCTTCGTAGCTTTGACCGGTAGCTAAAAATCGCAAAGTAACAACCAAGCGTTCTTTTGGAGAAATGCTTTCACGCATCAGTGTCTTGTTCGGCTACAAAAGGAGTTACTAAAAATAGTAATTATTGCAAGCACTCTGAACCCATTCTGAAAAAATTACGAAAATCTTCCGGTTCTATATAAAACATTATATTCATATGAGACATTTTTTTTCGTAACAATAGCCACTTTTTCTCCCAGTATCTTTTTTCCTTTTTTTTTGTATTAATGATGCAATAACTAAAGCAATTCCCAATTTTTGGTACTTTGACAAAACCACAGTGGTTCTGACGCGTGTTTGCACATCTGCTAACAATATCAAATAAAATTGTGAACACGATTGATTCGTGAGTAGAGTATGGTAAATCGCGACTTCAATAAATTGAATCAACAGATTGAATGCGAAATCGCATCATTGCGTAGTTTTTGGGAGGTTTTGACGGCAACTTGAGCCAGCAGACAGTTGGCGATAGTATCTCAACGCGTCTAAGCAGACAGACACATTTTCTTGAGATTCACGTCACTATTGGAGTACTTGCTTCACCGTTCCCACTAATAGTTCGCATGTGAACTACAAGACATTTTATACACAAAATCGCACCAGTTTTACCTATCAAAATTCACTTCAAACTATTATTTAAACAATAATACAGGAGCAAAAATGCGGCGCCAGTCAAGTTCCCGCCAAAACTCCCATTCATCACAGATTAAACTTTCGGTAGGTTGACGGCAGATATAAACAGGAGTACGTGAGTACTCGAAATCAGATTCAAAAAACGAGTCAAACGAAAATATATCTTATTAGTTGCGGTTAAGGTTCATTCTAATTACGATATCGTAACCGAGGAAATACAAGACAAGACAGATAATTAAAACCATAGATATAGAATAGTATTGATTAGCGATAGAGTGATTAGGGTCAGCCCACAAACTAAATAAGAAGTGCTAAGCGAAAGTGGCGAAAGTGAATTGTTTTTTATAATGAGATCAGTCTACATAAACCAGATCTCATGTCGAAGAATTTTCTTTTCTTTACAATAGATACAACTTTTACCTCGCTTATTTTAAGGTCCAGGTATGTTTAAACTAATTTTAAAATTTGTTTTAAAGGAAGGGCACGCTTTTATAGGGAACTAATTTTCTAATTCTTTTAACAGAAAGAGTGGTGAGGAACGAATTGTGATCAGCACTGTCGGTGAACGATGTGCGGAGTATCCTCATACGACCATTCCAATCTCTTTATAGGGATTCTAGTGCTTGTGTAAGGATCAACGGGGCATACACTGAATGGTTTAATATCGAAAAAGGTGTTTGACAGGGATGTGTAGCGTCACCGTGGCTGTTTAATTGCTTGACAGATTTAAAAGAGAATGAAAGTGGGTTGAGAATGAATGAGTTACTCGTCAAATGTTTCCTCTATGCTGATGACCAAGTATTAGTTACGTCTTCGGCCGGGGAGTTGCAGGAGATGGTAACTGCTATGAGTGGAGCTTTTGTTAGAAAGGGAATGAAGATGAATGTAAAGAAGACGAAAGTGATGGTGTTTAAAAGAGATGAGGCAGTGACAGACTGGAATATCGTGATTGGAGATGAACAAATTGAACAGGTGAAGGAGTTTGTGTATCTGGGTTCAAAGTTTTCAAGAGATGGAAAGTGTGACAGTGATATCGATAGAAGAGTGAATGCAGGAAACATGGTGAATGGAGCTTTGCACTCCTTTATGAGCAGTCGGAAGGTGTCTAACAAGGCTCGTTTGGCTGTGCATGAGGGTGTGTTGGTTCCGACACTCATGTACGGAAGTGAAAGTTGGGTATGTCAGAAGAAACATGAAAGCAGAATAAATGCAGTTGAGATGAGAGCGTTAAGAAGTATGATAGGAATGTATCTTATAATTAAAATATTCTGAGCCAGTAGCTGCAAGTTTTTCAATTGCAATGTGTTTTCCATCGATACTACTCAAGCAATGATGGGAATTCCATTTCCTTTCAAATTCTCCTGCGGTCGTCTTCCAATTGTCTTCAGTTGTAGGCATCTGAAAAACAATGGTAATATACAAATATTTGTAAATAATAACGTACCCAAATTTTACAGACACCGGATATGGAAGAACTAGATGAGGAAAAATGAAGAGAAGAAATGCAAAATAAAATCTCTGTGCCAAAGAAAAAACAATGGCAAAGCATTACTAAAACTGGAGGATCTAAGAAATACAGCGTAAGAATTATTGAACAGGAAAGAAGAAAAATGGAAAATATTATATTGCTATTCAATTACAAGATATTAATGAGGGCCAATTAACTATTGCGAATAAAATTATATCTGATGCAATTTTTTACGCAAAAACAGGCAAATTAACTAATAATCCCTCAATAAATCTAAGGTTAGAGCCAGAGGCAAAAACTGGCAAATTAACTAATAATTCCTCAATAAATCTAAGGTTAGAGCCAGAGAAATTCTCAAAAATATGTAAAACATTACATCCCCAGCATTTCCGTCCCCAATCCCAAGCATCCTCTCCAAGAACTTCAATAATATCTAATTATTCCGAACCGTCGTTATCACCGATTCCTCAACCTATGGTCTCGTATGCTCCACCAACAAACAACCAAATACAATTTTTACTGTCTCCTAAAACATATCTCCTCCGTCTCCTCCGTCTCCTCAATATGAAATAGTTATATCTTCTTCAAATAACCATAGACAGCCTATCGAAATTCACGAAGTAGTATCTCAATCACTGCTATCCTCTCAATCATATGTTTCTTCTACGCCTGAACCACTTGATAACCCAACTTCACCATTACCAACCAGAACTATTACAACTTTCTGCTTACAAACACAAGCAGACCCCAACATTCCGTTATCATCTTACAATTTTCCTAACACCGTGATTTCAAATGATTCACCTGTCATTTTCGAAGGAAAGGGCTTCGAAACGAAGGATTTTTTAATTACAAGACAATGAAGACAGTTTGACACCCACGACAATACAAAGATAGCTTAATTAAAAAATAATAATTACCAGTCTCTTAATTACTTACCCTCATGTAATAACGTAGAATTTTGTATATGGCCCAGCATGTCTCAGGAATAATTTTTGAGAGTAATTGTGTGCGATATTATTGAAATAAATTTCAAGTCTTCGTAGCTTTGACCGGTAGCTAAAAATCACAAAGTAACAACTAAGCGTTCTTTTGGAGAAATGCTTTCACGCATCAGTGTCTTGTTTGGCTACAAAAGGAGTTACTAAAAATAGTAAATCTTGAATGCATTCTGAATCCATTCTGAAAAAATTACGAAAATCGGTTCTATATAAAACATTATATTCATATGAAACATTTTTCTTTTCGTAACAACAGCCACTTTTTCTCCCAGTATCTTTTTTCCTTTTTTTTTTGTATTAGTGATGCATAACTAAAGCAATTCCCAATTTTTGGTACTTTGACAAAACCACAGTGGTTCTGACGCGTGTTTGCACATCTGCTAACAATATCAAATAAAATTGTGAACACGACTGATTCGTGAGTAGAGTATGGTAAATCGCGACTTCAATAAATTGAATCAACAGATTGAATGCGAAATCGCATCATTGCGTAGTTTTTGGGACGTTTTGACGGCAACTTGAGCCAGCAGACAGTTGGCGATAGTATCTCAACGCGTCTAAGCAGACAGACACATTTTCTTG